ACTCTTTCATTTCTAGCCGTCTCCCCTCCTTTATTTTCAAAATGTCTGTGGAACAAAAGGATGCATTGGGGGAGAACTTGGGTTCATTTTGACTCTTTGTAGGTGGATACTGAGTCGATATATTGTGATTTCTGTTTCTTATGAATTATTAAAACCAGAGGAAATCTTCCCATGACATAAAACCAAATCCAAACCCAGACTGTTGGAGTTTGCCTGCTGACAATGGTATTGCGCTGCTCATTGTCTTGGCTTTCATGTGCTGACAGTGGTGCTGGAGGATCTCACGTGACTTCATTTAGATACCTGGCAAAAGAAACTTGCAGTGTGGTCTGATTGTGCCGAGGAATAAATAAGACATGAGGAATGACCTGCTTTCTCCCTACTGGTCAAGTGTGTGTCATGTGGATGTGACTATGTAGAATGCTGTGTTTTCATTTGGGACCCATTTCTTCTAAAAATGACCTTCTTTGTGGTCTGCAGATACTGGCTGAATACCTGAAATTCAGTTAGTTTCCTTTAAGGCATAAAGTCAGTGAAGGAAAAGAAATCATTTTCTGGGAGCATTAGGTAAGTGAAACAGTTAAATTTCCTAGGTTATTTCTCAGAATTATTAATCAGTCTAATTACTATCCAAGAGAAAAGGCAAAAGACATTGTTATTTTTTTCCTATGTGGTTACCAACCTTAATATCTCAAACTCTTTGGTGAATTTACAAATGTGCCACATATTACTTTACGTGGCAGTGTCTGTCTACACCATGTTGAGGAGCGACCCTACAATCTCTGTAAATAATACATTTGATGCACTCAATTAACTAGTAGGAAGCCTGGAAGATATACATACCTATTTTTTGAGTTATCACATTTATCCTTTTATTTATTTAAGGAAAATAGAGATCAACAACTTTTTGTTATTTCTAGCACTTCTCTTCTACTTTAAATCACAGATCATTACTCTCTTTTAAAAATAAGAACGGTCAAGCATAGATACCTAAAAATTCGACCATAGAAGAAAGGGGGATTGCGTCTCACGAGATGGTTGCCTAGTGAGGAGAAGAGTCACAGGAGGTGGTGGTATGTTCTAAACATCCTCAAAGGTCACCAGATATTTGGTGATTTGGGCCACATTTACAGTGAG